TTCCCAGAAAACAGCCCGAACAATATCCGGCTTGCGGACCGTCCCCTGAGTTCGAGTTTGCCTTTCAACAATTTACACCCAACGAACAAAAGACGTGAAAAATAGAAAGCGATTGATATTTCCTCGAAAAACGCAACAAAATATTTAAAGAAAATAATAAAAAAATATCAGTCCCAGAGGCGTCGGGTTTTAGAATGTACTCAAAAAACTGTAAAGTGGTACAAGAAACTATTCTTTTACTTGATGGACTTGGCCATTCTCATTTCTTATAACCTATATTTAGTTAGAACGGGCAACAATTCTTTACCACTAAAAGTTTTTTATTCGAAACATCGTGAAACAAATTTTAGAAAGACACGGAACACTTACTAAAAGAAGTTAAGAAAATATTGATCGACTTGCAGCAGTAAATTTCATGGAAAGGCATTATTTGGACACTGTTCCTCCAACTGCAACAAGAAGAAAAGGACAAAGAATTGGTCATGTTTGTTCCCATACCCACAGGCGTGACAAAAAACGAAAATACGTAACAACTTGGTGTCCAGCATGTGAAGTTGGACTTTGTGTAGGAGTGTGTTACAAAATTTACCTCGCAATAAAGAATTTTTGAGTACAAATGCATTTGACACATTATTATGTCTGCTTGTAAATATACGTATAACTTATACATATTTTTATTTTCATATTTTCCCCTACACGAAAACCTAATACATTTCATTTCAATCTATCTAATTGTATAAGGTTGTCCAACATAAAACATCATTTGGTTATCAATACTACCAATTGGCATAGTTGACTCAGCAAATAATGTTAACACTTGTATTGATGTAGATTGGACACTACCATTTAATATGTTCCGAAAACTTGTATTTAATTATTACATTACTCTTGATTAATTATTACTTTACTGAATAAGTTGTAATATTAGTTGTAATTACCTACTGTTTATTATTAATATTATTATTATTATTTATGTATTATGATACTTTAATCCATGTAATAAGGCCATTGGCCTGTTTGGATACAAATAAATAAATAAATAAAACATTAAGTTATCAACCCAGTTCTTTGTTGAATATACGAGGTGGAAAAGGTTTGTAATATTCTCATCATAGTTCCCAGAAAAATCACTCTAACGACATATTATTTTCATTTTAAGCTCCCATACGAGAACAGATAAAATTAATGATAAATTAATTATTCATGAATTTTTTGCGTTAGGTACTGTGGGCCAAAATAGTTATACCTGTAGCGAAAGGGTTAATTACAATAATTACGTTTAAAAATATAAGCTTACATTAGTGAGTTGGTACATAAAAGAGATAACATCATGTAATTTAATTAACACTACTTTTTGTGTATATCATTACATTGTGTTTTTGATTATAATGTAGTAATTTTTCTTTAAAACTCATAATAGACTAAAACTTTTACAATTAAAATTAGAGTGAAGACATGTAATGCTTGGCATTCTATATTATACTGTTCACTGTTTAAAATATCCCCTTAACCCCCATTTTTTATCAGTTTTTTGAGAATCAATAGACTTTATCCCCTTATATAGCTTGATTTTTCCTGAAGATTTCAATTTGATATCGTTTTTATTTCTGAGTTATGAATGTTTTCAATAAATTACTATATTTTTATTATGTATATGTAAAATAATAAAATGAAGGTGTATTTATTTATAATCTTATATTGACATTATGTTAATTGAGACACTACTGCAGAATGACGGATGCATCTAGCTAATAACAGTAAACTGAAGAAGGGAATTCAACTTCTCAAATATACTCTTATAAGTTTTTTTTATATATAACTGACGACTATTTTCAGCTAATAATCAGCTATATTTAACAGTAATAAACCTTGGTATTTAATTAGTATTGTGGGGCTTATAAAACATTAAGAAATTAATTAAAATATGTGACGTGAAAAAAAAAACATAAGTGCCCAGGCAGCACACTTTGGTATAAATTACGTATTTTTTTTAGGTACTACCATACGTATGAATACGGTTGATGTACTACCAAATATATTCGTGAAAATGTCCGCCTTATAAACGTCGATTACTAAGAATTTATTCACCTATAATTAAACGTTTTTACTATACGTCTATATTAGATTTATAGTTATAGTATATTTATACGAATTCACTTTGGTATAAAATACGTTTTTTAACCGACTTCAAAAAAAGGAGGAGGTTATCAATTCGTCGCGATATTTTTTTTTTTTATGTATGTTCAGCGATTATTCTTTAACACGGTGTCCGATTTCAATGATTCTTTTTTTGTTAGAAAGGGGGTACATCAGGGGTGGTCCCATATAAATTTAGTCAAAATCTAATAATTGGGTCCATGAGAAAATCCTCAATCTCTTCATTTTTGATGTATGTTTAGCGATAATGCTTTACCACTTTGTCCGATTTATATGATTCTTTTTTTTTTGTTAGAAAGGGGGTACTTTAGTGGTGGTCCCATATAAATTTAGTCAAAATCTAATAATTAGGTCCATGAGAAAATCCTCAAACTCTTCATTTTTGATGGATGTTTAGCGATAATTCTTTACCACCTTGTCCGATTTATATAATTCTGTTTTTGTTAGAAAGGGGCTACTTCAGGAGTGGTCCCATATAAATTTGGTCAAAATCTAAAAATTGGGTCCATGAGAAAATCCTCAAACTCTTTATTTTTTATGTATGTTTAGCGATAATGCTTTACTACCTTTTCCGATTTATATGATTCTTTTTTTGTTAGTAAGGGGGTACCTCAGGGGTAATCCCATATAAATTTGGTTAAGATGTGGTGATGGCATCTGCACGTTTTTGAAGTCGGTTTTTTTAAATTTTTAATTTACACTTGTTTATGTACTACAATATACGTATGGATACTGTTGATATGCTACCCAATATATACGTGAAAATGTCCGCCCTATAAACGTATGTTTTTTTTATTTTTTATACGTCTAACATTACTACTTTATCTACCTTTAATTATCCTGTTTTATTATACGTCTATATTAGACATATTTGTATGATTTTTATTAATGTGTAAAATGCGTCTACCTGATATTATTTTAAATGTATTTCAAACACAAATTAAATAAAGTGATCAAAACAAAATTTCTAGAAGAGGCCATGGAAAAATGTTAATATTTCTTAAATGATAGTTTGGATTGTATCAATAGCAGGTGTGTGTATACACCAGAAATAGGCATTACTCGTATTTCTATTTTGGTTGTAATTGGCCTAAATATTTATAAATTTTTTTTGATCACTTGTTATATGTATAGAACAATATTTAATTAAAAAAAAAATAAACAATAAAATACTAAAAAATAAATATAAAAAAATAAACACTAAAATACTGAATAACAAACTAAACGAAACTTTTCTTTAACTAACAAAAAATATATATGAAAATAAAAATCTTAGCTTAACACTTTGGATGTGTTGTGTCCTATACGGGCCTTAGCTAACTTAAGCTAATCTTGCATGGCACACCTAATCGTTCGTTCGGTTAAGTCGCTTGGTTCACCTCCATTCCTATAACGAAAATGTAACTCAATTTCAGGTGAAATATTTATTTCTAAAAGCTCCGAAATTAAATTCGTATTATTTTCTTGGAAATTATTATAAATATTAGAATCAGATGATATATTAATGTCCGAAGCCTTATTAATGTTATCTTCATTGGGAATAAAAAAAAAATTGATTTCTACGTAGATGACGCAGAGACAGGGTTATTTTAGACATTTTATTAAATAAAAAACAACTGACCAAAAAAAAGGAAAATAAGTATGCTTGGAATAACTAGGTAACCTAAAAAATACGTATAAAAATAAAAGAAACAAAAGTAAGGTTATGTTTTGAAGTTTCTATAATCATTTAACACACTGTACGTACCTATAAGACAGTAGTTGTTGTAAAATGCAACAATTATTAAAGGAGTAGCTAAATTAAAACATTAATAGAAACTTACCTATGCTTTTAATCAATATCGTAAAAGCCAGGACGCCAAACCAACATGCAACAAAACGTGTACATAAATGAAACGAACCGATGAACCTGCTCCCGCAAACCATTCCCTACACTGAACAATAATACTACACATACGCATGAGTAGAAATGAGAAAAGACCGTACCACTAGTACGTCATCGTCCATCCGCCATCTAAAAATAGTTCCATGTGTATGGGGAATTTGTTATAAATATTACAGGTAATATAATTAAAAAAATATGGATGTAATGTAAATAAATATATCTATAAGCTTTTAATTTAAATAAACCTAAATATACATATTATTTACTTCTGTCTACTAATTCATCGTAAACAGGTATTATGCGTTTAAGGTGACTTATATTTAAACGTAGAATAATATAGGTATATTAACTAGTATCGACAAACAAAAGCGTTTAATTTATCTGTTAAAAAACGTTAAGTTTAAAAATGGTAGATGGTAAACGTTTAAAAAATCAACCAAGGCGAAATTTAAACGGGAATTATAAACGAAGAAAACATATTGTAATATAATGTAAATTTATACGAATTTAATTTAAATAAACCTAAACGTATATTTAGGCCCACTGTATATAAATAGTTCGTCGCAAACTAAAAATAGTCGTATATTGTTAACTATATTTAAACGTAGAAAAATTTACAATTATATACCATAGGATGTATATAAAAAACGTATAATATATCGTTTAAAACACGGTATGTATAATAATCGTAAACTGTAAACGTATACGGAATCAACCAATACCAAAATTAAACGAGTATTACGTATAAAATACGTTAGTTATACTAATGTGTGCTGCTTGGGTGGGATCAGATTTTGAGTTTGATTTATCTTATAACAATATAATTATTTAATATTGCTCAAATAGTTGTATAGGTTTGTTAGAAGTGGAGTGAAAATATGTCTTTCTACTTGTAGTTAGTTTAAATTCTTTCATATTTTTTTTTTTAAGTAAAATAAACTTTATATTTAATTAACAGGTAGTTGCCATGACAGACCGAATACAACCAGATAATAGTCCAATAAACCAAAATAAACAAAAGGAACCTTCCCAAATTTCTGAAAATTCATCTTACAATAAGGACATTCATGAAGCACCTACCCAAGAAGTAGGTTGTTCTGAAAATAAAGACAAAGAAAAACCGAGCTCACAGTCTTCTTCGCCGACTCAAATGTTAAACACACAAGACCTGATTCAAGCAATTAATGTGACAATAAACAGTGCAGATTCCAATACACAGGAACTGACAACTCAAGAGAAACAAGACCTTATTGACAGAATTGACAAAAAAAATGAAGACATTAATAAAGCGGAAGTGGTGGATATTGAAAAATGTTCATCTTTAGAAACGTTGAGTTTAAAAAAGAATACAATTTTGACTCCGTTCCAGAAGAAAAATGTCATTCACAATAGCCAGACGCCTTCTACATCTAAAGTGTTTCCAAATTCTGAATACGACGAATCTTTTTTAAATGAATCTAAAACTAGCGGCAAAGGTAATAATGATATTTATTCCTTCGATGAATGCAAATTGTTAATATTTTATATAAATCATGTGCAATTGTGTGTTAACACGTTAAGCGCCACAATAGAATCTGAAATTCCCGAGTATATTGCAAGGCCCAAAGTGGCAAATAAGATGCGACCCGCGCATTATACCTCATGGTGCTTAACGTGTTAACAGTAGGTAAATGTTAACAAACTTTTCGGCCAGTTGCAAGAACGTTCATTAAAATGTATATGCCTGATACATTTTGACAGAACTGGAGAATGTAATCTGTCTGAATGATGGAAACTTCAAATTACACATGATCTGAACAACTATCAAAGTTTATCAGACCCATAAATTTTAATAAATTTTCTTACAACCAGCAGTTTATATATTAATAATTACATTCTTACAGGTGTCATAGAAGAAACTATAATTGAAAACCCCAATAGCAATGACTCAATTGATTTTCTAGAAATGCAGAATACACAAGATGGCATGTTGAGTAAGCCTATCCAGAATGATATAGATGACATAGAAACTATTGGATTTAGAAAAAAACCCGTCAAGCAACTGTCAACACAGGAATCTGTGACTTCTGTTGATGACACGGAACAAATTGGTTTCAGAAAAAAACCTATTAGACAACTGTTAAGCCAAGATTCAGATACCGATATTGAATCTCAACAAATTGGGGTCAAAAAAAGACCTGCTAAGCCACTGGCAGAGGATTCCGACTCTGATACAGACATTGAAGACAATGTTCAAAATAGTAAACCTGACGAACCACCTAAAATCTCTAATTCAGACTCTGAAACCGATTGTGAGGAAGAAATTTTGCAAAAACTCAATGTTAACACAGTGACAAAGGATGATACTTGTGATAATGCAGGTAATAAAAACGAGATGAACGATAGCGATTGTATACCAGCAACGCAAGATGCTTTTGCAGAAGCCTTAGGCTATGAGCCAGCAAGATCTCAATTTACAAATCAGTCGTCAGAAGAAAGTTTCAAGTTGGGATTGACAGAACTTATGGATTATTCGGAAACAGTTACAGAAAATAATAATGGTAATGATAGAATCGAAGACATGCCTAAAATCGATGAAAATTTAAATAAAAAAGATGCGGTTGACGAAACTGATGGGGACAAAATGAACTTAATGCCCACCCAAAAAATTGGAGAAAATAGCAGTTCTTCTAAAAAATTCACTTTCAAAAAGAAATCTTGCATTCTTGATGAATCTTTGACCACTATTTTGAACAATACCACAAATAAAGGCGTCAAAGGCAATGTTGATAAAGCTGGTGATGCTGAAAATACTGATGTTGATGACGTTTTCTTGCAACCCACCCAGAAAATAGTTACTGGAACATCGGAACAACCAGAAGATGATATTTTCTTGCAACCTACTCAGAAAGTAGACTACGATGATACATCACAAAGAACCGATGATGACGTTTTCTTGCAACCTGGAAAACCGATCAAAAAGAGAGCAATTAAAAATAATACTGAGTTGGAAAAAATTGATGAAGACTCTGATGATATTTTCTTGCAACCAACTCAAAAATTAATGTTGGAAGAACCGGTGGTGGTAGCCGGTAACAATTTAAAAAAAGGTTCTAAGAAAACTAATACTCAAGATGATGACGTTTACATGATGGCTACTCAGTTGATTCAAGAGGATGTAGACCAAAAAACTAAAGGTAAGCATCTCATTAAACTAATAATCCTGTCCTTTTCCAGACATTCTAAAAAACATATTGTTCCCACCTTTATATATCCAAATTAATTATTTATTTTTGACAAGATTTTTATTTATTTCTTCGGATTCATTATCTTATAGACATACCCATGACTCAAGAAGACCTCTACAACCAAGCTACCCAAAAAGTATATGCTACATCACAAGAACCAGATACTGTAATACAAAATCAAGACGTTTATGACTTGGAAACGCAAAAAATAGATGAAGTTTCTATTGTCCAAGTGGATAAAATACCAAACGAAGTCAATACTGATTCAAATTTACCAGATACCCAGCTAGAAATGCCATTTAGTAGTCAAACTACACATTTTAAAATCGCCGAAGATTCAAATCGACCTGGTAATCCTATTCTTCGCGAATTAGACCATCTGTCAAATCAAGATGAAGAAGCTGGCAGCTCTAATAAAGATAATTTGACGAAAACATGTTTATTTAAGGAGCCTTTAACGATTACAGATAATACCAAAAGCAAAGCTGATGATCCTGAAACTTTAAGCCAGATCGAAGCGTTTATTAAAAAGCCTCTACCGCCGGCAGCTACAAGACGATCTGTTAGAAAATCGAATATAAATAAAAAACATGAAGCTCCCGAAACTCTGAGTCAAATTGAAGCTTTTGTTAAGAAACCTGCTGTAAACGAATTGTCCAAAAATGAGGTTCCACCAGGGACATTGCATCAAATTGAGAGTTTCATCAACAAACCTTTACCGGAAAAACAAGAACTGATTAAAAAAAATGAAATTGAAATAGTTTCACGAAAGCTGTCCAAACGCATTTCTTCTAATTCAATTACTGTTAATGATGATACGATTATTCATAATTTAACAGCAATAAGAGAGGACGAAGAACAGGGACAATCATCATCGAAATTGTCTGATGACACATTGAATGATTCAGAAAGAAGTCGAGAACTCAAAAGCGATGTAGATCAAAGTTTCGCTTTGCTCGAATCCAAAAGTTCTAAAGTCAGAAGGAAACCTAAAAATGATCCCGATCTTAACGAAATTAAAGTTGTCATAACTTCACACAGACGATCTATGGGCGTGGCCGAAAATTTAACACGGAATATCGCTACACCGATTAGTAAAAAGTCTAATAAAACTAATATTTCAAGTGATTCTAGTATTGAAGAGCCTGTAAAAGCTCCTCGCGGAAGAAGATCTCGAAAGCCATCGACCAGCAATGAACCTGAGAAGAAAGTTCCAGTTAGAGGAAAGAAAATCGAAGAAACGAAAGACTCTGATACTGGTGATGGTAATTCGAAAGCGTCTACTAAGCCTCCTGCTACAAGAAAAACGAGAAAAGCTTCGGTTAGTAGCGAACCAGAACATGCTCCGAGAAAATCGAGAAAACTCTCGACTAGTAACGAACCCGAAAATATATCGTCTAAAGGGAAAAAAGCAGAAGAAGCTTTGGAAACAATCACAGAAGATGCACCCACCAAAAGAAACGCTAAAAAACAAACTCATAGTTCGAAAGATGTGGAAGATTTCCCTAAGACGGATAGAAGGAATATTAAAAGGCAGATGAGCGATTCCAGTGAAAGTGATTTTGTTCCAAGCGGTCCTTCGACTCCTGCCAAACGGGGTAGGATAGGTACCGCCAAGGTAAATAACGTTCCTTCAACAGATACGAGCGGCAAAAGTAGGGACAGTAGCGCGTCTAGTGAAAATATGACTACTCCGAGGAAGGTGAAAATTTCTATTAAGGCGGAATCTCTACTAGCGTCGGTAGAGGTAAGTAATAGTTTTAGATTTGCATCATTAAATAGGTGGATTCCGTTTCAATAGTAAAAAGTACAGCTGCTTCATAGTAAGGAAAATAAAAAATAGAAGGTGTGTTTTTGGAAAAAAAACTTTTTCGCGCGGTTGTAATTCATGAATCGTTAGATGATCATAAAAGAAGCTTAAAACTAAAATTTGGAAATCTCCCCCACCCAAATGTAGAGAGTACCAAAGTTCGCAATAACTTCTTTATGCTTTCTATATATGTTATATACAGTGAGCATCATAAGTCTTACCCCCTAACTAACTCGTTATTGGAGTCTTGTTAAGAAAATCGCCGAGACACGTCGATTTTTGATTTCTACAATGTACATTTTTCTATAAATAGTTTACCCTTAATTTTATCCCTTACTGGAGGGGAGCAACCCTTTCGAAAAATTTAAATGGCATGGGGTGGTGAGTGATAGCTCATTTGAAAGGGGGTCTTATTCTCTATTCAACCGTGCAATTTTTTTTTAAATTTGCTTCATTTCGTGTTGATTTATTAATATTTAAAAATAACAAAACATCACAAATAGGAAATCAACTAAACTAACAGTTACCTTATCTAATGGCAAAAAGTCTTACTTCACGTCTGAACCAAAACCGATATCATGCAGGGCCGAATTTTAATCCTAAGGATGAGTGCGCTACGTTAATTTCCGTTATTCTGAAACAATAATTAGTCGAGAATTAATGAAGCAAATTTAAAAATATTTTGCACGGTTGAATAGAGAATAAAACCCCCTTTCAAATGAGCTATCACTCACCACTTCATGTCATTTAAATTTTTCGAAAGGGTTGCTTCCCTCTAGTAAGGGATGAAATTAAGGGTAAACTATTCATACAAAAATGTACATTGTAGAAATCAAAAATCGACGTGTCTCGGTGATTTTCCTAATAAGATTCCAGTAACGGGTTAGATAGGGGGGTAAGACTTATGATGCTTACTGTATACTGCACTTGTGGCCTGTTTCTGGTACATTTCGTTATTGATAGAATAACTATCGGTCCTATAAAGTTATGTGTCCAATAAGTAATAAAGCTTTTTTGAGAACTTATCTATAGGTAACTATCACTCGATAGTAATCTATCATATAACTAGGTTTGACGTATTCTGATTAGATGGACTTTGATAATGTAATGTCTTGTTATCATTTTAATATATCAAAAAATGGTAGGCGAATTTTCTAAAAGTTCCAGAAACTTTACAGATATCGATAAATATCTGTTATTTGTGATGGTCATTGATTACAGATGTAATTGAAAATAAAAAAATACCGTTGGTGTGAAAGAGAAAAATTCTCCCTAATTAGTTCAACTATTATCGTTGGTTTACTTTCTTCTAAGGTTTAATTTGATTGTAGCGACATCCATTGGACGATATTGAAACCTTCTAAGTCGTTGCAGGATGTTAAATAATATTTTAAATCTGTATCAAAACCTCTTAAACAGTAAAAGCGGAGGTTTTGAAAGTAAGCCGACGATATATTTTTGGTAAATCTAAAACGATCTAAATTCGTTGTCACTATATTCTTCAAAAGGATCATTTCTAACGCAAAATTGGCGAACAACGTGTAGAAAATCTAATATTTATTCATAGGAAGAATCCGAGGAGCTTAAATAGTATTTTTTAGGTTTATTTATTCTTTTGCTGATATTTTAAAAACAGTAATATATTAATTAGAAATGTCAATGCTAACTGGCATATAATACTTATCAAATACATATCTCACCAAAATGGCAAGATCTCTATTCGATAACTTATAGAACGGATAACTCTTGTTATATGGGAAATTTAACTTAAATGCAATACTTTTGATGACAGTTGGCATGGTCTGTGAATTTCATCTGTTTGTCATTCATTTGAAATTTTCTACTATTTGTATTGAATTTCCTCTAATTGTGATGTTATATTGTTTTTAAACAAATTGCACATAGTCATAGTTATTGCTTATCAGCATACATTTTGTTTTATTTGTGTTGATTTTGAACAAATTATTGCAACACCATTTATAAACATTTTTCAGAGTTTCATTAACAACTCTTACTAAGTTATCTGGTTACTTGCAAGAAAAATATATAAGGGCATTATCAGCAAACAGGTGAATGTCACATTGGCCCTTGACATCAACATTGTTATTGATATAAACTAAAAATAACAGGGGACATTATTTTATTAATTAATGAAACGGACTTTATCTATAACGCCACATATACAGGACGTTATAAGTTGTTGCTTGAATTATTGTTTTTTTTTTTTGTAATTAATCAAATTACCTAATTTCAGAGATCAAAAAGAAAACAGAAACCGAAAGTAGTATTTACTATGTTGGATAGTCCACAATTGGAATCATTTATCAAACATTTAGGTAGGAAAAAGTTCATTATTCTGTTCTTTTTTGTTTACTATTTTTATTTTGTTTGTAGGTGGTAGTATTGTGGATACAGTCGATTCTTGTACTGTGCTGGTTACACAAAGTATAAAGAGATCCCAAAAATTATTAACTGCCGTAGCCCAAGGAAAACCAATTTGTTCTCCAGAATGGATTAGGTCTTCGAAGCAACATAACGATTTTTTAGGTACATATATTAGATCTAATGAAATTTTCAGATCGACGCGGTTTACTTTTTTAAAACGTTTATTTGTATTTTTATAGATCCTTGGGATTACTTATTAGTTGATAAAGCCGCGGAAAAGAAATGGGACTTTTCACTGCGGGAATCCCTCATAAAAGCCGGTGATAATAAACTTTTGGAAGGTTATATTTTTCAACTAATGGTCACCAACGCCTTAGACGTGTTAAAAGGTGAGTTTGACTAACAGTATTCTTCAGTGTAGCCATTGATTTGAATATATAATAAATGGACAGCTAGTAATCCTGATTTACCGGAATCATGTGTGGTCGCGGGTAAATTGTTGACATATATAAGGCTTATGACAATCATTTGTTATTTTTTATATTAGTTGGTTATCGATCGGTATTTCATAAGTCGTATCTTTAGAACAACATATTTTTCTATTCTATTGAAATATTGAATTGATTATTATCAATTCAATTTTTAATAATCATAAATTAAAACTTATTAAAGTTAGTAACAGAAATATGCAAACCAGAAAGAAAAATTAAAGGGTTCTTTAATTAGAAAAAAAAAAAAAATGTAAAGACTGGTCTTTTGTCAACAATAATGTATTTATTAGTTAGCAAGTTGCTACGCTTTGTAGCAGTTTTTCTTTCCGAGATAATATAGTGAGACTTGTGTCTTTCTGTAGTGTATCTATTTGAATAAATAAAAATAAATTTACAAAATCAGAAAATTCTTTATCGAATTAGTCTGAGATTATGAGCCGAGCAAGTAACTGGCGATTGCCCTATGGCTTCACCTGGGCATTTACCATCGGAGTGGTAGAAGCCCACCAAATGGCCATTTCCCAAAAATTGAGTATCTAGAGACACTTCGGCGACGTTATTAACCTATAGAACTTTTACCTAAGATGCTGGCTACTTATAGACACCTCTCCAGCAACAACCAGCAGATTTGTGATGAGTTAATAACCTGCATTACTTTGACGAGCTGAGAAGATGACTGTCTGTAGATGCCTCTGAGCGATAGCCACCAGGTTCTGACAAGTTCAAAGGCAGGTTTTATATGCCCGTGAAGGAAGCACAATGGGCCTTATAAAACCTTAGTGCAGTGGAGCAACCCGCCCTCCCTGCCTTACAGATATGTTACAGGCGAGTTCAAAAAATTTAATATTTAAAAAATAGAGATATAACTATAACTAATTACATTTTATGATTACTTTTTGTTTTCAAAAAGCCGTAAGTTTTTTATATTTACTAATGTCAATGTCATTTTTTGCTGAAATGGTTTTCACTATATTTTTTAATTCCGTCTTTCTTGCATTACTCTCTATGAATATATCATAATGGTGATTGTATTTCAAGACGTTCCTTAACGACTTACTCTGAATTTCAGGTGACATGCTTTGAATGTCTTTCATTGGTTTCTATAAATAATTCATGACAAAACTTACTGTTGGATCTGACAAACGATCTCTGTTTAATGATATACAGTTATCGCTTTGTTGATAAATATTAGCCACAGGTAAAGTGTTTGATTTTTACATTAAGATAATGTGTTTCTTTCGAAAATCGCTATGGTAATGCATTGCTCTATTAAGAGCTGGCGATAAAATATATTATACATGAATGTATTCGATTCTCGTTATAACAAAAAATTATTGTGGGTCATTGTAAAAAAAATTAAAATATGTTGATACCATAATTAAATTGAATCATTTATTCCAAAAAGTATTTACTAACATTTTGTTACTTTTGAGAAAATGAGTAAAAACTTATTTGTAGTTTAATAAAATGTGATGCTATTTTTTTGACATAATTAGGTCAAGATAGAGTTGCTTAGATGTTTTTTATGTTAAACATAAAAAATTAATCATAAAATATTATTTTCAAACATTAGCCATTTTTTAGAACAATTTTGGATATCTGTGATTTATGACAATAAGACTTATATTTTTGGTGTTGTATATCGACCACCAAAAGCTAGTATCTTACAGTGTCTACAAGAACTACAAGATTCCGTATCAAATCTTCTTCCTACTAGTGATTTGTTTATACCAGCTGGTGATCTTAATATTGACTGTTTGTGCGTAAATAGACCTTTTACACTACTTAATGAATTTCTTGAGTTGTTTAATTTAAAGCAACTTATTGATAAGCCTACTCGTATCTCCAGAACATGCTCTACTCTTCTTGATCTTTTAATTGTAAGTGAACCACATCTTATTTCTAACATTCATGTCTATGATATTCACGGCATTTCAGATCACTTCTCAATTTCATGTAGTATCGATTCTTTAAAAAAAGACTGCAGGCCAAAATATGTGACATATAGAAATTTTTCTAACTTCGATTTAAATGCTTTTAATCACGATCTACATCTTTTGACCCTGGACAACATATATGCCATGGAAAATGTTGAAGAAATGGTAAACTTTTTAAATATGACCATAATTAAATTGTTTGATTATCATGCTCCAATTGTAACCAAAAGAGTAAGCAAATCTCCTTCGCCCTGGCTAACATACAACATCAAAGAAATCATGAAGCTTAGAGATAAAGCTTACAAAAAATTTAAATCCATTCAATCCATTGTGCACTGGAATTACTACAAAGAACTCAGAAATTACACCACATCTGCAATTCGTCGTGAAATGAGAGCATACTTAGACTTTGTACTTCTGCAAAAAAATTCTAAATCTACTTGGAATGCTCTTAGATCTCTTGATATCTTGAGAAAACCAACTGCCTCTTTTCCTGATAATTTAAAGGATACAGATAGTATAAATTCTCACTTCACCAACATTACTCACACACAAAAAACTCACCCCCAACTTTATCTTCTTGATCGATATCAGAACCAGTCTAGTGATAATACTTTTCAATTTTTCCCCGTTACATCATCTCAAGTGAGAAAACATCTTTACAAAATTAAAAGCAACGCTGTAGGTTCAGATAATATTTCATTGAGACTAATTCACCTGGTAGACGAATTCTTATTAGAACATTTAACGTTCATATTTAACACATGTATCTCCAGTAGTCAGTTCCCGGAGCAATGGAAGAGAGCCTCTGTTATTCCATTACCAAAATGTAACAATCCCACTACCCACTCAGATCTTAGGCCAATTAGCATACTGCCTACTCTATCAAAAGTATTAGAGATGATCTTAAAAGAACAAATGAACAAGTTTATGGAAGAACACATCTTACCGGCTACGCAATCGGGTTTTCGTTCTAGTCACAGCACTACTACTGCGCTTCTAGACGTAACTGAGTATATATATAATTCAATTGATAAAGGAAATGTTACTTGCCTAGTGCTGCTTGACTACAGCAAGGCCTTTGACACACTTGATCATCAACTTCTAATAAAAAAACTTTCCTATTTTGGATTTTCTGCACGGGCCGTTAAACTTTTAAAAAGTTATCTTGAAAACCGCACCCAGAAAATTGTCCTGGACGAAGCTGTGTCGAGATCCCTTCCGGTTAAGTATGGTGTTCCACAAGGTTCCATTTTAGGACCACTACTTTTCTCACTTTACATTTCAGATTTTCATCAATTTGTAGAAAATTGTCATATTCATCATTACGCCGATGATTCGCAACTCTACTTGTCTTTTAACCAAGGAAATTCTTTACAAGCTCAATACATCATAAATCTAAATTTAAAAAAATTATATGATATATCGTCAGCACATAATCTCAAATTAAACTCAAAAAAATCTGTCTTTATGCTATTTGGGCCCAATAAAGCTAGAAATCTTCTAACTAATAATTTTAAACTTAGCATAGGTCATGACCCCATTCCACTTGTTTATGATCATAAAAACTTGGGGCTGTGGATTGATTCTGAACTTAGATTCACAAAACATATTTCTCAACTGTGTCAAAGCTCATACAACGTGTTAAGACAACTGTATCCTAATAGGGATATACTTTCACCTAAACTTAAATTAAAAATGTGTGAATCACTCATTATGTCAAAGTTATCATACTGCGATACGGTATTTGGACCAGCTCTTCTTCAAAGGGATTTAAATCGTCTTCAAAAAATTCAAAATTCGTGTATTAGGTTCGCTTACGGTATACGCAAATTTGACCATATTTCACAGAAATTCAAAGAATCAAAATGGCTGCTTATCAAAAAATTACATTCTTTGCATATTCTGAATATAACTCACAAAATTCTTAAATATCAAAAACCGAAATATCTATTTAATAAATTCACACATTTCAGTAATAATTACGGAACTCGGAATAAGAGTATGTTAGTAATTCCCAAATTTAGTTCATCCATTGGACAGCGAAGTTTCTCTTACACCGCAGCTAAATTATACAATACACTGCCTAAAGAATTTGGATCGTACACTCTAATTAATTTTAAAAAAAGGTTAAAAGGCTTGATTGTCGGTTTAGGACGGTTCTAATAAAAACAATAATCTCTGTCCATCTCGGATCTGCTCTTTGGTTCTTGATATTTTCTTGGATCTTTACTGAGGTTGAGTTGAAAAACAGCCTATGCTGACACTCCGCCTATTCACCTTATTATTTTTATATTTAGGTAGAAAAAAAAATTTATTCTTTCTTTGTTTTTTGTTATGGTGAATAAAGACGATTTATTATTATTATTATTATTATAAAACAGGTATTTTTTTTGATAATGAACGAAAAAATTGGATTACAAAAAAATGCAGTTAGTACTTTTCTCAAATAAATGGAAAATATATTTTTTAAGGAATCAACTTGGCGTTATCACTGAAATATTAAACAGTGAATTGTTTTTCTAAGAATTACCCCAATAAAAACAATAATAATGTTTAAACATAAAGATTTATTGAAAACTGTAACATAATTTGTATTAAGCTTGTAATGCAATCGCTTTCTTTTTGGAAACTTTTGTAGGCCATTCCAAAATTTCTTGATAGAATGGGTGATATTCCTCTGGAACGTATGACATCGCTTTACCGATATCCGTTATTTTTGTTTCCAATATTGGAACTTTCTCTTGATGTGGTTTTTTTTCAAGCATTCTAACCGGAACTCTTTCGACATTTCTTGGCATATGGATCTTAAATGTATGGTTCGTCAGACCTCCATACAATTCTGAGCACATGCCATATCCAGGAGATTCCGAGTTACAACGAAAATGGCAAAATTGCGATACAAAAAAGGGTTGCTTTTGTGCCCTGGGGATTTTTTTGTTTGAAGTTTCCAGAGACAACATTTTTTATAAAATTTGGGCCACCATTTCTTGAAATCTAAAACTTCCATGACAGTAAATTTTTTCTGCCCACTTGAAGCTATTATTATTTCAGTGTATTCGTGAACAGAAAATATACGATCAGATCGCTTTAAACGTCGTTTAATGACACCAAAGTCTCGGTCATTAGGCAAGAAGGAATGCCCTCTGATCGGAAAAAATTGTTCCACTTTTTTAAATCTATTAGTTTCAACTAATGCTGCACACACGCGTATCATGGTATGATTTTTGTTTCGCCCAGGACAATTATCACTATAAAGACGTAATTCCTGGACATTTTCTGAAATTTCACATTGAATATAGTCCCACAGGAACGAGCATACCTCGTTTGGTCCCTTATTAACAACACCTTCATGGTAAATATAAAAGAATGACTTGCCAGTCTTACAGTTGTGTATACCAAAAATACTGACTGTTAGTTGTGTTAGATAAAATAAATCCTGGACTGGAACTTCAGGTAAATGAACATTCTGCATGTAGTCAAATGTTATTACGACCAGGTCATCACGAATCTTGCACTCATCAGTAGATTCCTTCAACGACAAATAAAACTTTTTGCTCTTTTATGTACTGCAAGTTCGGCAGCTGCTGCTCTTTTAGCTGCATCTCCTAGCGAAGGACTTTTTATTTTGAGGTCCAGTTGTTTACACTTGCAACAAGTGTCTACTTGTGGACGGCCAAAGTGAAAATATTTCACAAAGTAAGAATAATATCGACTTTTGGTTGTTGGATATTTTACTTTGAACATATCAAATATAATGTTCATATTAAGTTTAACATCAAGATATAGATAGGTTTTATTGCTGTAATGAGTTTCCTTAACAGGGAATGATCCAATATGCTGGCGAATTAGTACATTGTTCTCTCCTGAAATAGCATTGCCTTTTATATTTTGTCCCCTCTTGTCATAGGAGTTATGTTTTGTTTTAGAAGACCTTTTAAACGCTTCAACCTTTTGATGCCAATACTAAACAAACTAAGAAATTTCTTTTGACAATTTCGTTTACCATCACTGGGACATAATGATGTAAGGAAGTTTTCCCTTTGAGTTCTCTGGATTTTGTGGTTGAGATTTTCTTTTAATGTTAACTACTTCTAAAAGACCTTGCAAATATATGTCCTGATCATCCTTAGTGTTAATTGCACGAAAGCGAGTAAAAATCGCATATTTTATATCAGCGTTCAATTTTTCAAAGCATTTCATTGGACAACTAAAAAAAAAAAGAATGGTAAGTACATAATTACCAAAAAAATTTGCTGATTGCAAACTTACCGGCATCAGTCTCTAAGCTTTCTTGCATCCATAGCATTTTCCTTGTAATTTACGTAAGCCTTCCCCTGAACCTATTGATAACATTCCTTTTATAATTTTCGTCATTTCTAACCCCTCTTTGTTTCTTTTACTGACTTTTCAGACTGGGTATCGTCGGTATCACTTATAATTCTTTATTTTCTTAGAGAACACTTTAAATATACGGTTTGACCCAACAATATTATTACAATATAATTTTTATAGGTTAATTCTACTTGACAGCTGATGGCGTTGATGCTGAAATAAACCTCGGTGGCGCTAGTAGCCATTTATTTGCGGAAGGGACCAACTATGTCACTTGATAAAGGTGCGTTTAGTCAGCCTGATTTAGTTTTAAGCATTAACATAGACATCATAAAAGTTAATTTCAATACATTTCAATGTACCTGTGCACTAAAAGTTGCATTTACCTTAAAATAATGCAACGAGCTGAAAACCCCAAAAATGCCGAAAATGTTAGTCCCTTTCTGAAATAAATGATTCAATTATTTTAACTTGTTTATGGTATATTGTTATGTTCTTAACCTCTGACAAGAAAGCACTACGCCGTAGAATATTTAGAATTTTACAAGAGATACTCTTTCTTCGTCCATTTTTTATATTCAAATCAATGGATATAACATGATCTCGGTAGGTATTCCGAGAATGCAAAAAACAATTATGATCTAAAGTTTATTTAACAGGTGCTATTGAAGCGAGTGGTGCAAAAATCGTAACAAAGCAGCCAACCAAATCTGAACTGAATAGTTTTATAATAATCGCAACGGCGGACCAAAAATCGAAATTCCAGAGGATCAAAAAGCAACATCCCGAAGTTAGAGTGATAGAACCGGAAGCTATCTTTGACGGCGTCTTGAGACAAGAATTTAGACTATCCCGACATCTCATAGCATAACAAATACATTGATATTCGGAATTGGTAGTTTATGTCTCATACATGCATTTAATATGCAAAATTATTTTTGTTATTGAAACGAAGGGGAATACTTATTATATTTACTTCAATCTAAATATGTATGCCAAATAAAAAGTAATTAAAGCCTGTACATTTGAAAAACTAGAATAATTTATATTTTTGTGTATATGGAATTTAAGAAAAAGAAAATTGTTTTATTATTCAAAATGGTTAATCAGAGCCCAACATTTTCCGATACCGAATAGTCCTCTGCAAACTAAATGGCTCCATTTGAAAATAGACCTTCCGAAACAGCGTTAATTGTAAATATAGAACCTTAGAACATTACTTAAGTTTACATATATTTTTTTAAAAACTGTATAGAATATATTTCAATTATAGACAAACTAATGTTTTATACTATTTTATTTAAGAAAATGTTATTTTTTAAGTGTATAAGTTCATTGTTATAAAATAAAACCTGAGTATTTAAGAACCTGTGCATTGAATGATGTTTGTTGTACCACTGGGAATGATTTCGAATTTGACCTGAAACAGAAAATCAACATTAAGAGGTTAGTTCACCTCTACCATATTGCACAAAACGTGGCTTGGTTTTGAAGCTTTATTATATAAAATTAGTATCTTATTTTATAGATAAGTGTTGACACAGCATTTTTGATAAAGAAAATATTTGGATATGGCAACATGAAGCATAACCGCAAAGCCAGAAAGTGCAAGGGCAAGTAGAACAGAGGAGAAATTCACTTAATGATGTTTACAAATAATTCGTCAGAAATAGTTTATAATTTAATTAATTTGTTGAGCCATACCTAAAGTAGAAAAACGACCCCTTATAAAGTACCCCCAGATGCTCTGACTATACCCAAAATCTAATAAACTCATTAAAGGATATATCATCGCGAAAATGGTCAAAATGGATTCAGGGGACCCCAAAACATAAAAATTCGTTGAAAACTCAAGTCTAAAAAAAAATGATGATTCCTATACTTTCATCCTGGATTTTTAATTTAATCTCAAAAAAATTAATTTAAAAATAACGCTGGTTGTCAATTCTAAGGGGGGTTAAAATATAAATAGATGGAATAGGTGATGTTGCCAAATCTAAATATCTACTATTGTTTGGATCAAAAATAAAAACTTTTTGAATGTTTGTCATTTCCTCTTAATGGATGGGGCAAGTCAGATTGCTAAAAATATTTTGTCTGGTAATAATTAAATGGATATACACCGGGTGACAGTGGGACCAGACAATTGTCACCCAGTAGCTGAGCAAAAAAAAAAACAAAAATGCTTCTCACAGAAAAAAATATTGCGATCTGCTCAAAATTGTTTTATCCTCAATGTAACCTTTTCAAAAAATACACACAAAAAGATTTTACTTACGTCTTTAAGCATTTTCTCTGCAATAAATATCGCAGTCTTTGTATGTAACGTGATCTCTCCTACCCGTACGCGAGATTGCCCTTTAGCCAAAGCCATCAATACAATCATTTGGTCTTGGCTATATTTGTCAACGCAAGAACCTTCCTCTATAACTGCGACTAGTTCTTTTGCTGCCTTCCTGCCCGTCTCTTCTGGATCTTCATTCTTGGTACCTAGAGCTGATGCTCCAAGATAGCATTTCGTGTCCGTTTCTGCCACTAGACTAAAAAAAGTTCAAAAGGAGATAAAAAAAACGCCATGGTAATTGAAAATGTATAAAAACATGACAAAAGAAACACTCTAGGTAGTTAAAATTGGGAAAGAAAGTCAGGTATTAAACTTTTAAATATTGTTTTGGCCTGTGGCAATAGTGTAAGATTGTTTCTTCATATTTAACCCTTTCGCGTCGGGAGCCGCAAAAATGCGCAAATACTCGAACGCTATATATATGGGAGATGCATTTTTTTCAATGGCTGTGAGGACCACTTAAACACGGGAAATGCACGAATACATAATATTCTTATGAGGTGATCAACAAGTTATAACTTGTCTGTAGTAGAAAGCTGCGGTACGCTAAATAGTGTTGTATTAGCAGTTGTTTCGCGAACGTGTGAGGGAATACATTCCTATTAAGTTTTCTAAAAGAAAAATAAGTAAAATAAAATGAGTAGTAGACATAAAAGACCGTTGACTGAAGCAGAAATTGATAGGCTTTTATTAGAATCTGATGACGATGAGCATGAAAAATATGATTTTGATCCAGGAAGTGACTCAGATGGTAGCGACTATTTACAAAATATTCACAGCGATAATATGGAAACCGATTCTCTGAAGAAGAATCAAGTGATGATGAGATTGATAAGGAAAATATTCCAAATAAAAAATTAGCTGTTGCTTGTGGATCTAAAGATGCCAGTCGAAAAGGTAATATTATAAATTTATAAAAAGGCCTACAAATATGTTTATAAATTTTGTTGTCATAAATGAGTTAACATATTTTAATATTCAGGAAAATCCATAAAAAAAATCAAGTCTAATGCACTTTGGAAAAAAACGGATGTAGTTTCAGTACCAAATAAACCTCCAAATAAACACCCATTCAATATGTTGAACTCAGGTTGCTCAGATAAAGTTGATAGTTTTAAAATACTAGACTGTTTCGAATATTTCTTTTCTGAAGATATTGTGGTAAAAATTACTGAACAAACAAATTTATTTAACATGCAACATGGACACGAAGTCTTCTCATTCAAAAAAATGGAGCGATGTCACAAAAGAGGAAATGTACTGTTTTATTGCAATTTCGCTTCTGATGGCCCAAATAAAGAAGCTGAAGTTAATAGATTACTGGTCGACAGATTTATTATTATCCACACCAGTGTTTGGACAAGTTTTTAGAAGGGATCAGTATAAATTGATTTTACAAAATCTACATTTTGTGGATAACAACAGTGACGACAAAACTAAAGACGATAAATTATATAAAATAAGACTGGTTCTGAATCATTTACAAAAGGCATACAATAATGTATTCTATCCATATGAAAATTTGTGCATTGACGAAAGTCTTATGCTCTTCAAAGGGAGGCTCTCATTTAAACAGTTTATACCCAGTAAAAGACATAGATTTGGTGTTAAATTGTTTGTTCTTTGTGACTGCGAAACTGGTTACATATTGAACTTTATCATGTATTGTGGTGCAGGATAGGATATCAAAGAAGTACAAGAAGATGTAGATATTTCAGGAAATATTGTCGTCACACTTATGGAAAAATATCTAGATACTGGGCATACACTGTATACTGATAATTGGTATACTAGCCCTAATTTATATAACCTCCTTTATTCAATAAATACAAGACAAATGCATGTGGTACAGTAAAACAAAATAGAAAAAACATGCCAGCATTGATAAACAAATTAAAACGTGGTGAAATAGAAAGCTACAATTCAACCAATCTACTAGCACGTAAGTGGCAAGATAAGCGTGAGGTACGTATGTTGTCTACCTTTCATACGTCAAAGATTGCTCCTACAGAAAAAAAACTATCGCACAAATGAATACATGTTAAAACCAAAAGTGATAATCGATTACAATAATAACATGGGAGCTGTAGATCGTACCGACATGTTATAAAGTTCCATTGCATCTGTACGAAAAAGTATTAAGTGGTACAAAAAGGTATTTTTTCACCTTCTTGATATGTCGCTACTAAATGCACATGCCGTATATATGAAGTCTGGCACCAACATATCAGTAGCAGATTTCCAGCTTTCTTTGGTAAGAGAAATCTTTCAAAAATATCATGTTGACAAACCGCGAGCCTCAAGTATGAACGCAAATCCACCTTTGCGATTAACTGGAAAAAAATGAAAACAATAAACAAACAAGAAAAAGATGCGTAGTTTGTTCAAAGAAAAAACAGAGAAAAGAAACGACTTATTTCTGCCAAATGTGTGGTGTGGAATTATGTGTTATTCCCTGTTTTCAAATGTACCACACAAAAAAGGCATATTGGTTGTAAATTTTTTTTTTTTTTTTATTTTAACAATTCTCTTATTTAAGTTTCTTATTGTCCAATAAAATGTTTTGTCTTGTTTATTTGATTATTTTTTATTACTTTCAATATCACATTCAAAAACCCGGGAAACGCAATAATGCGCACATTTGCATGCCCACTAACCGGGAGACGCACGAAAGCGCAAGCACAAAAAGTCCCCGTTTGTCGGGCCAGTCACTCAAAAAAACTCCCGCCGCGAAAGGGTTAATCTGTTCCATTCAAATATTGAACAAAGAAAATCGGCCCCTCCTTTTTTCTCACTCAAGAGAAAAGGAGATTTCATAATAATTGGGTACACTCTCATGAACGCTGTGTTTGTATTAATTGCCAGTTGTAAGTATTCTGTGGTTATAATCTACACACTATTTTTAGATGTTTTTAAAACACTCAACTGCCTGAAAATAATTTTTCCACATTCTCTCCAAGTCTCTGGGTACAAATATAAATGTATTTTTTTTTTTTCGGAGAAGTATCTGTTGAATTTAAACAATTTAATTTGATACAAAGCACTTTTTTGTTGTTACATTTTGTCACACAATGCAACAGTATGCATCAAACCAGTCTATAGATATTTTATATTTATATGAATTGAAAAAAATCTAAGAGTAATATCTATTATTTATATATGTAAATATCAATTTCAGAAATAAAAAAAAAGAAATTTCTCCTCAGCAATCTGAAATACCATTCTAAAATATTCATTAGCATACAAGTTTGTCAAATACTTACATAATCCCAGCGCAATTATCAGGAGCGATATTCCTATCCTCCTTATATCTCTCGATTTCAACTTTATCGAATTTCTTTAACTCTTCAGTTGCACCATAGGCCAATTGGTGAGCCAATTTTATTGGCAAGGTTCCGGCGGCAAAGGCCCAACCGTAAATGGACGTTACTTTGCCTTGGTCTGTTAAATCGACAGGTTTTAAACTCTCCACAGGATTGACGGTGACTACTACTTCACCGCCACCTTTTGGAAAATAACCTCTTTTCATTAAATCAAAATCAAAAGTGGCTCCGAATTTTTCGAACAATGGCCTGAAAATTACCAAATTAATTATAAATAAAAAATATAAGAAATGGGGAATTGTCATGAAAAGACAATATAATTTAATGAAAAATACGTATATAGTTAAGTTGGGTAAAGCCAAAGATCTGGAACCTAGCTGTTTCCAAGGCGGATCAGGTAAATAGAATGTGCTCTGCAAATTTGTCTTCCGTGCTCTCATAATCTCATGTTCGCTAAAAGAACATTATAAGGCAAGGTTTTCATTTTTGTAAAGATACTTTAAGAAACTAAGAAAACATTACCTCTACAGAGGTGCTACTTATATTAGTCAAAAATCCGCTATAAAATCCATTTGGAATAAGTTCTTAACCAGAGCTACTACAAAAATATTTATAGATTTCTCTCCCCCATTGATTAATTTTAATAAACTAAATTCCTCCATAATTAAAATTAAAAAAGATAATTTATTCAATTTAAATATTAATACAATCTTACAATTGCTACAGAAAACAAATAGAAATATTTTATTTTCAGTAATACATATATAAACATGTTTACATAGTCATCAGTACACATAAATCACATTTTACATACTGTTATGTGAGCCATTTCATTATTCAGTCATGCTCTAACCCTACAAGTCCCTCTCTGTCTTATTTGGCCTTTGAGGCTCAACTTGTCCGATTATTATACATAATTAAACCCCTTAAGACCAAACCTATGGGACGACTATGGTGGAGACACTTTCGCGAACATTCCAGGGTCAACGAGAATCAGTTATATATGGACCGTGAAGATAAATAGTAATTAGTAGATAGACAGTGGTGAATATAAATAGTGATCAGTTTAAAGACATTCAAAGTATATATAAATTAGAATAGTTGTGTTATAAAATAAGTGTTTAAATAAATTCTTAATAAATAAACTGTTGTTTTAAAGTAAACAAACATCACAATACATTAACATACAGCATATTACTATAAAATTAAAAAAAAAATAGGATTTTAAAATATCATGGTTGGTAATAGTAATAAAAAAAATATAAAAATATACAATATTAAAAATATTGGGTGACATGTTTCACTCTTACAAAATCATCGTTAGTGTTATACAGTGAGCATCATAAGTCTTACCCCTCCTATCTAACTCGTTACTGGAGTCTTGTTAGGAAAATCGCCGAGACACGTCGATTTTTCATTTCTACAATGTACATTTTTATATGAATAGTTTACCCTTAATTTTATCCCTTACTGGAGGGGAGCAACCCTTTCGAAAAATTTAAATAGCTTGAGGTGATGAGTGATAGCTCATTTGAAAGGGGGTTTTATTATCTATTCAACCGTGCAAAAAAATTTGAAATTTGCTTCAATAATTCTCGACTACTCTCGCGCACTCATCCTTAGAATTAAAATTCGGCCCTGCATGATATCGGTTTTGGTTCAGACGTGAAGTAAGACTTTTTGCCATTAGATAAGGTCACTGTTAGTTTAGTTGCTTTCCTATTTGTGATGTTTTGTTATTTTTAAACTTTAATAAATCAACACGAAATGAAGCAAATTTCAAAATTTTTTACACGGTTAAATAGAGAATAAAACCCCCTTTCAAATGAGCTATCACTCACCACCCCATGCCATTTAAATTTTTCGAAAGGGTTGCTCCCCTCCACTAAGGGATGAATTTAAGGGCAAACTATTCATACAAAAATGTACATTGTAGAAATCAAAAATCGACGTGTCTCGGCGATTTTCCTAACAAGACTCCAGTAACGAGTTACTTGGGGGGTAAGACTTATGATGCTCAGTGTATAGACAGTAATCTTTTTACTTTCCTATCTGTACCTATACAGATATAAGGAAAGTATAGGAATCATGATTTTTTTCGACCTCGAGTTTTCGACGGATTTTTACGTTTTGAGGTCCCCTGAATCCGTTTTGACTATTTTCGCGATGATGTCTGTGTGTGTGTGTGTGTCTGTATAACGCATAACTCATGAACCGATACACAGAAAAACACCAAATTTCAAACTTAAGCTTTGTTCTAGCGTCTAATGAGCTGATTAGATTTTGGGCAGAGTCGGAACATCTGGGGGGGTACTTTATAGGTGGTCATTTTTATATTTTATGGAATATATCTGTTATTTACATTTGGGGAAGAAAATTCTTTAAATAAAAGTTACTTTTTATTTTATTATCTATAATTTTTGTTATATACAAAATTTTCCTAAAATGGTCCGTATTCGAGAAATTTGACAAAATGTAAAAAAATATTTTTTTTTATAAAAATTGTTCAAACAAAAGTTGTTTGTATTATAATTCTCTATAATTTTTATTCCATAGATAATTTCTCTAAAATGGACCGTATTCGAGATATTTGAGAAAATGTGTAAATTTCGAAATTTGAAGAAAACTCAAAAACGGATAAAGAAAAAATCAATAAATTTTAAACTTAAGTTTTATTTCGGCCTGACGTGAAATGATTAGATTTTGGACAAAGTCGGAACATCTGGGGGGGGTACTTTATGGGAGGCCATTTTTATATTTTATGGAATATATCTGTTATTTATGTTTGGAGAAAAAAATTGTTCAAATAAAAGTTACTTCTAATATTATTATCTATAATTTTTGTTTTATGTAAAAATTTCCTGAAATGGTCCGTATTCGAGAAATTTGACAAAATGTGCAAAATTCTGATTTTTATGAAAATTGTTGAAATAAAAGTTGTTTGCGATATCGATCTCTATAATATTTGTTCATACATGATTTTTTATAAATGGACCGTAATGGAAAAATTGTAGGAAAAGTTCTAAATTTAAATTTTTCAGTATTTTCATTTTCAATGAATATCTATAGAAAATTGTTTCGCGGTAGATGTATGTGGACAATGTGTATATTTAGTTTATCCTCTAAACATTTATAGAGATGCTGCAATACACAATAAACGGAAAAAGCCTGTAATAACTAGATAGGAAAGTCATGTGTTGGACACATCAGATTTTTAATTTGATGTTTAAACTTTTTTCTTGATAGATTACGGATGTGGGGCAGAAGTGCATTATAGAATGAAATGCCTATTGTTCGGGACTTGTTTATTCTAGTTCTCGTTTGGATTAGCTGATTTTTCCCTCTGGTATCCTATGTATGATTGTCTGAGTGACATGTGAAGTTTCCCAAATTATTTTTTATGGCTAGCAAGTTTTCAAATACTATTTGCGAAAACAGGGTCATTATGCTAAGTTGCTTAAATAGTGGTCGGCATGGTTCATAATAATTTACCCGCAGAATAGAGCAAACTGCTGATTTTTGCCATATAAAAAGTCTTTGTAGTGAAGTGAAGCTAGCATTTCCCCAAGTTGGAATGGAATAAGCCATAATAAGTAGTTATTGCTGCTTCTGTATTAACTATATTTGATATTCTACGTAGAGCAAACGTGAATTTTGCCAACTTGTTGCATAATTTATTTATTTGATAGTTCCATGTAAGTTGTGTGTCAAAATATATACCGAGAGATTTAGTGTTCATTGTTTTACTAGTAGTTTGGTTCAACCTGAAGATACATGTTTCAGTTTTATTGTGATTTAAAAATAATTCGTTGCTATCAAACCATTGTTTAGCTTCAGTCATAAACTTAGAGTATTTGATAACTATGTCAGATGTGTTATTGCAGTGATATGAGAAATTGGTATCATCTGCATACATGGTAGTTAGTAATTCGGCATTATTTGAATTCATATATAATGGAAAATCATTGATATATATTAAAAATAATAGATTGCCTAGTACGGATCCTTGTGGAACACCTCTTTTCATTAATAAAGGTTTACTAAGTTTATTTCTGTAATATACACTTTGTCTGTTTTGCAAATAAGAAGCAATCATCTCATTTTCAAAGGTGTAGATATCACTAAAAGGCCTGTTAATAAGAACCAAACAGTGAATGTTTAAAGTGGGAATCCATCAATATTATTTTAAAATAAATTAATGAATTCAGTCACCCTTAAATGTAAAGAATGAATTTTAAATGTAATTTCATATTTCAAAAAGAAGCTGATGTAAAGGCATTTATAGAAGTAGTCGCAGAATCACTAGAAATTTAAAAAGATCAATTTACCCTTTAAGGAAAACCCAAATGTGGAGTCGGAAACATGTTGGTGAAAATACAAGAAATTACAATTTTTAACTGTAACTAAAGAACTTCAGCTATAAATTAAAATATTTTTAGGGTACTTTATTAACTAACTTGTGATCCTAATATTCTTTTTTAATTGTACTAGTTTAATATGAGTTTGTTTTTAATCATCTATTCTTATATCTTTTGAAATGTATTGGTCCAGATAGCAACTACTCAGCTGTAAATTTATTACTCTTTTTTAAGTATATTTATTAATTTGTAATAAAGGATTATTCTTATTATTATTATTATAGTTTTTACACCTCTTCAACCAAAAAAAAGTATTAACACAATTTTCAGTGGATTTGCCAAAATACACTTGATACAGGCCTATGAACAAAATATAACATTTTTGGATATGTACTGTAAATTATAAGAAATAAGAATGCACTGATTGCAGAAAGGGCCTACAAGTCAAGTGATGTTAGTTTTGAGAAAAACTCAAAACAAATCAGTGACTTAAACCTTTTCTTCATTCAACGGAATTTAATATAATTAATTTTATACCTCACATGTATTAGAACGCCTAATAATGCTGAATGCTTTGTACTGTAAGTTCATCTATAGAGATCATAAAATAACAAAAACATGACTTGTATCCAATCAGTGATTCCCTTGCATTTAATAAATAAAACATTCCATTCTTTTGTTTAGTGACTAAGGGTATTTCTACAAGAAGTATAACTTACCTATAGATGTAAAAATTCATATTCTCTCAATGTTTTTTAAACGCATTTTTGATTAATAACAGATAGAGGTGGCTGATAATAATAATAATAGTTTTGTTGTATTTTTTTTTAGTTAATACTGTTGAATAGTTTTATTGTGTTGTATTTAAAATTTTTAATTCCTATTTAAATAATACTTGCCAATTAATTATAGAAAATTTTTATATGTTTTTTTATGCTTTGTAATTTATATTTTATATGTATATTAGGGGTTCCTAATTAATAAATAAATCTGTCTATAATTAAAATAAACTCAAAATATTACTAGGAATGTCAATTATTATTATCAATAGGCATTTACGGAAACTATTACCTTAGGTTAGATAAGTGTCTGCTGATATCAAATTAACTTGGTAAACAGGTAGTTATTCAAATGTTCCTGAATGCATAAAGGTTACAGAATTTAAAAATTTATATCATAGCATGTTCTCACATTTCTAATTTTGTTTTAGTGCTATTTTTTTTAAGTTCTATGCCTAAATTTTATACACAACTACCTCGCAGATCACTATCAGACAAAATATAAGCTCATAATGTATCTTGATCTTGACAGACGTATTTAGTAATCCAATTACTTCGCTAGCAAGGAGGGTAAGTAAGATCAGAGCATATGGTAAAAATTGAATTAATCAAATTACTTTACAAACACAACTAACCCAATAAGAATTGAGTTTTTAAATGAAAAGATTACTAATCTAAGTGATCGAGTTAATCAAATCACACTTTCTGCAAATCTCTAATGATAGAATGGTTTGTTTTTGTTTGGCTCCCTGGCGTTTTTCAAGAACACTAATTTTGGCATTGGATTTGTTGCTTAGCACTTCTATCTGAACATTAGTAGTTATAAATACCTACTTAAAAACTTCTGTTGTATAGTCTATTTGTGGGGCCATTTCTGCATTAGTGCCACCCTTTAGGTCAAGTGTAGTTGGAGCATTTGCAAAGATAGTACAAGGCAGAGCTACCTGTAGCAAAAGGCTTATACTTCCTGCAGTTTTAATTTGTACTCTATAATGACCTCCTCTAAGATCCTCTGGTATAAATTCTACTTCTCTTGATCCGAAACTAATCCCTTTTGTTCTGGCAAAACATAAATCTCTGAGCAATTCAACACCTAAGGAGATTTATTTTAGATATATAACTGAATTAATTACTTAATTGTTTTAATACCTTTTAAGTGTTGTTCCATCAAGCCAGGTTTGGCTCTACCACCCCTAATGTTTTTTATACGTACAGGTATCTTTTTTACAGCGCTTAAAGTCAAAGCTACTCTCAAAACTTGACCACCCTAAAAATGTATGCATTTATTTTCTATTTTAATTTTATATAATATTATATTACCCCTTCCAGTAAGGAACCATCTATTTCCGTTTCTATCGTGTCTATCATATCGGCGACAGTTTTTAGGCACTCAAAAATTAAAATCAGTTATTTTTATAGTCTCTTTAATATTTACAACTATGTTACAACTTCATTCAAAAATCAATTATTGGAGAATGAAAATTAAAAATGAAGAAACACAGAATCTTGTTCATTTGTTTGGTTTTGCTTCGATCGTGCAGGCAGGTGCCGGCCGGTGCAGTGTGCAGTGTTGCATCGTACAGTGTTGCCAAAATTCAGTTTTTTTTTGAATGTATAAAATAGAAGGCTTGTTATTTTTCCTCCTATCCTCCACTTCCTTTTTTGTAACCATCATTCATTGTCTCTCCATTATTTATCCTTTTTAATTCTTCATCTAGCTATAATAAAGCTGTGATGTGACATCATGCTCTACTATGTTATTAAGGACCGATTCCACCGTTGTGTTAAACGAAGTTTATTCTCCGTTTAACGCAACGGTGGAATCGGCCCTAAGTAAATTACTAATAAACGAAGACTAAAATGACATTGTTAATGTAAAAATGTAATTTTAATCTTTGTTTAGTAATTTAATACAACGGTGAAATCGGCCCGTACGTCATAGATTAGGTAATGGATGTAGATACAGATACTATATAAAATTCTTTTTATTTCATTTCGATTCGCTTGCTAGTATTTAAAAGGGTATCCTATTTTTATTTTAATAATAAAATTAAAATAAAAAGCTATTTAGTTTGTAATGAATGTTGCCTAATAAGTAGGGATTATTAGGAATTATTGCGCACCAACCTTTATCGAAGTCAAATTATCGACCAATCCAATAGCGGGAGCGGAGGCGTTTTTGCGCGGTCGCATTGCGCAAACTGACTTCCCTCCTCTCCAAACCAGACAGCTGTCACCAATTTGTGTAGTTATTTTGTGATTAGGAAAAACGTAAATAATCGTAGTTTTTTTAGATAACTAAAGATGTCTTATGCTTATTTATTCAAATACATAATCATTGGAGATACAGGTAACACAAATCATATATTTTATCATATATAAAAATCGATGTTAACTCGTTCATTTTTAATGATAAACCATAATCTTCTAACAAAGAATTCATCAAATATCCTCGTTTTAACTTTTTTATTTAGTGCGTATTTTCGTCTTTTTTAGGAGTCGGGAAATCATGCCTATTACTCCAGTTTACTGATAAGAGATTTCAACCTGTTCACGATCTAACTATAGGTGTTGAATTTGGGGCTCGAATGATAACAATTGATAGCAAACAAATCAAATTGCAGATATGGGATACTGCAGGACAGGAAGCTTTTAGGTCGATCACCAGATCCTACTATAGAGGGGCAGCAGGTAACAATATTTTTTTATAAATAATTTAGGTAATGAGTAATAGGAGGTAGAAAAGAAACCAGTTTGCTAATTTTTAATCAAGGTTAGAAGTTACTTATATGTAAATTAAATAAAATAAAACCATTCTAACAACAAGAAATACAAATTTCTTAAAAAAAATACTTATTTAACAAATGTATGTAATGCAATTAGTATATGAATTAGTATAGAAAAATGACTGTTTTGTATTTTTTATGATTTCATTTTAGGTTCAAAAACATTGACATTATTATTATAATTTATTATTAGGGTAATCCCAATAGAGTCAAGAAAAAGAATAATATTTGGATCTGCTTTTATTTTTGATATTTCACTTTTACTCAAAGTACAATGTGTGAAATCTTTAAAAATGTAGCATTTCAATATATGGTCGCTTATATTTCTTTTCTTCAGTCAAGTGGGAACAAAGTGTAGATGTTAAATCATATTGGCCCCAATACGCTTCCATAATTTGTACAGTTTTCACATCAGTTTGTTTCTTACACACTAGAAGAATAATGGGTTGGGAGATATGCTCAAATGCTTTCACTACAGCTAAAAATATTAGGGATACTTATTGCCTTTATCTAAATTACTCAATTTATTTTTATTGTATGAACTATAAAAAATAGTAGTGATATGTGAAGTAAAAATAATGGAATATAAATCTTATGAGTTGCTGGTTTTCCAACATTTTGACAATTTCTAAATTTGTTATACTTTTTCATTATTTTTACTTCTTTGAACATTAATTTTATGTATGTTTATGTAAGGTTTCACAAACACTTAAGTTATAAATTGATAATACTATTTATATAATTACCATTAATAATGTAATATTAATTACATCTGTTAAGAAAAATTGTAAAATAGTAATTATTTATTTGTTACTTAAAAAACAAAAAGCTATCATGCACGGTTCAATGTCATATTTGTAAGGAAGTGCAGATACTTTTTAAAGTAATTTCTTGATGTGCAGGTGCTTTATTAGTTTATGACATAACCAGAAGAGAAACTTTCAACCATCTGACTACATGGTTGGATGATGCCAGGCAACATTCAAACTCAAATATGGTTATTATGTTGATTGGAAATAAAAGGTTTGTTTTCATTTTAATAATCATTAAAATATGAAAATGTGAAATATGTTTATAATATTTTCCCAATAATATTTTGATCATCTTTATCTTTAAAAAATCAAAAAATAATAAATATAATTATTAAGACAATTTCAGAATTTGTTTATTTTGTTTTTTTTTTCTGATCAAATATGTCTGGATATTAGATTAAATATTCATCTATTTATAAACAATACTTTTTAATATTATTAGACGATAAGGATTTGATGATTAATATTTCTTGTTTGTGTAAGTATGAAATAATTCTAAGTATTGTTTGTTCTGTATTACAAGAATTATGATTTTTGTTATTTATTTTACATTTAAATTCATTGTTATTAAAGTTTTTATTTAAAAAAAGTACAGAGCACTTACTACTGTATAAAAATTAGAAACACCAAAAATAATGTCAGAATAATTCTTAAAATTATTAATCATTCCAATAATAATAGTTTTATAAATATAAATATAAACTTCCTTTACATGTCTCCAAATTGTGATAGTTTTGTTAATTTAAGCACTATCAATGTAAGAAAAAAGTTGCAATTCACTTTATTGTGGGAAAAAATAATATTAGTACAATAGGTGAGATCTAGCTAAAGCTTCTCTTACCTAACCTTAAAAGCGGCTCGATTATAATGGTAGTTTTTGTTTAAAATAAAATGTAAAAATTAAGATAAATAAAATACAAAGATCCAACTCATGTTGAATATAAATTACAATCGGGTATAAAATATGGCATTACACATTAAAGAATATACAATACAAACAACATTTTTATTAAAAAATGTAATATCTTATAATGTTTAAAATAATTATGTTGCTTAGAGTTCTTGAAAGAACTTACAGATTTTGGGATTTCATGTCATCTGGATTATTACATAAATTGTATTAATAACACAAAATGTGGTCCAAGAGGTTTATTGAGTAAAAGTTAGAAAGAAACAGCGTGCGTCATTAAAAAAAAGTTATTTCGTCTTGAGTTTTTGGAGTACCTTGCATATTTTTCCTTTCCAATTGCATACTTATAATATTTTTTTTTGTAAGTTATGGTTACCTATTTCACTAAAGTGTTTCATTTTATAAAATTAACTTTTTTTTAACTGTTTAGTGATCTGGAGAGTAGAAGGGAAGTGAAGAAAGAGGAAGGTGAAGCTTTTGCCCGCGAACACGGTCTAGTCTTTATGGAAACTTCCGCGAAAACCGCAGCCAATGTGGAGGAAGCTTTTATCAATACTGCCAAAGAAATCTACGAGAAAATACAAGAAGGCGTTTTTGACATCAACAACGAGGTTAGTTTTCTTAATTAATAATTTATTCTTGTTTTTAAGTTTTTTTCTATGTCCTTTCGTAACTTAAATATTAGTACAACCCCTCAGATTAATCCTGAAAATACTTGAGTTATATGTACTGCTTGCTATAACAAAATGTTTTGTTGATTTCCAGGCCAATGGCATCAAAATAGGGCCACAACATTCCCCCACCAATCCATCACTGCCGGGTTCTGGAGGGGCGGGCGGTTCTCAAGGCTCAGGATGTTGCTAGATACTTAGGAGGTACAACTATCTAAAAGGCTTCTACTTATATTGTAAGCCTATTTTATGGATATATGGTTAAGCACTGAAATTTTGTTACTCGGTTTTTTAGTTTGGAGTCTTTTATAGATCTTCTCTCAGATAAGGAAACATTTTGTATATGGAAACATAGTTTTAGGATTTTAAAATATTTCAAGCCAAACGAGAACTGGGTAATAAAGTATGCCAATATTGAGTCTACGATTTACCCTTTAGGTTGTAGATCAAAAATGTCAAATTAATGTAGTGGTATTGGTATGTCTTAATTTTTTTTATATTTCCATGCATATTTTAAATGAATTAATACATAAATTTAATCGGTTTTGTAATAAAACATAGTTGTCCTTTAATTTTTAACACTAGTGATAGTTCTTAACAGTTGACTGATGATGTTTTTCACTGTCACGTATTTTAAAATATAAAAGTTGAATCATTTATTCATAACTGTCAAAATTAACTATTTAAAATTAAACTTGTGACATGCGAATATCTTTAGGACTAAAAAAAAAATGTAACTTAGTTGTTATTGATCTAACTATTCCAGCTATTATTGAGCGGTTTGTGAATTATGCAGGGTAAGTCAGTATGGTAAACGTTTATACCCAATATTGGCATAGAAGTCTTGTGATTATATGGAAGTGTTGTACATTTATATTTAGCGATCAGATTCAGTAATTATTTTTATTGTTTTTATGATATAATATAAATATATATTTAAAGATTATTATTTTATTTGGTTAACAATTAATACATGTCTGGTCAATCCGTGTTTTAAGGTGTGTTTCTAGTGAAATTATGTTACGATATTGAAATGCTACTATGAAATAAGAATTAATATTTCTTTTTGTGTAAGCTTCTTATCAAATACAAGTTATTTCCAATATACATATTTGTTTCATTCAATTTGGAAATGTCATCTTATGTAAAAATATAATGACTGTTCTTCGTTCGCGCAGGGCCGCTGAGAGCCAGGTCGGGCCCCAGGAGAATTCTCCAGATCGGGCCCCGTGACAATTTTATAACAAAATAAAAAAAAAGGTCTTCAAGCAAAAATTTCTTCTCTTTACTTAAAAAAAAGGCCTTCAAGCGTCCTCTACTTGAATTTCTCTAAAAAACAAAAAAATAAAGATCTTCGAACAAAAACTTATCCTCCTTTTTACTGAATCTCTAAAAAAAACAAAAAAGTCTTCAAGCAAAAACTTCCCCCCTTTTGTGTCGAACTTCTGAAAGTAAAAAAAAATCCTTGCCACAGTTGCCGGGCTCCCGTTTGAGCCCGGGCCTCGGGAATTATTCCCGGCTGCCCTCCTCTTGTCGGCCCTGCGTTCGCGGTAAGTGTCCTGAACTGATTCTGAATTAATAATTGCGCAGTCTTGCAGTAGTTAAAATTAAACTCTTGGTTTCAATTTTGTGTTCGCGGTAAAACTGATTCCTTTCGTTATTGGTTCTGAGTTGATACGTTGAATACTGAGATGTAATAGAAATTCCGTTCACAATAAAAATTCATAATTGATAATGAATCTGGCGTGATCTCAAGTATGAATTAGTAGTCCTGAATCGGTTCAGGATTTGTTCCGAACGAGGCTAGAATGCTAAAAATATGTGTCCAAGTCCAACATGACTTTCCTGTAAAATTATCAAAAATACTGAGTACGGCCCATCTAATTAGAAAGTATTTAGAATATGAATTAACGATAATATTGAAAACGTTTTTTCATATCTTCATTGTCGACAAAAATAATGAAAAATTTAAATTTTATGCTTCGTCAAATTTCTCCACTACAGTGTCCATTTTAGATCTTGTATAGGACAAAAATCTGATGTGTCCAACACATGACTTTCCTATCTAGTTATAGACTTTTTCTAGTTATTTTGTACAACCTATTGCAGCACCTCTATAAATGTTTAGAGGAAAAACTAAATATATACATTTTCCACATACATCTGAAACATTTTTCTATAGATATTCATTGAAAACGAAAATACTGAAAAATTTAAATTAAGCACTTTCCCTCCAATTATTCCATTTAAAAAAAAATCATGGATAAACAAAAATTGTAAACAACTTTTAGTTCCACAATTTTCTTAAAAATCGGAATTTTGCACATTTTGTCAAATTTCTCGAATACGGGCCATTTCAGGAAAATTTGACAAAGCAAAAATTATAGATAATAATATTAGAAGTAACTTTTATTTAAACAATTTTCTTCTCCAAATATAAATAACAGATATACTCCATAAAAGCCTCCCATAAAGTACCCCCCCAGATGTTCCGACTTTGTCCAAAATCTAATCATTTCACGTCAGGTCGAAATAAAACTTAAGTTTAAAATTTAATGTTTTTTTTCTTTATCCGTTTTTGAGTTTTCTTCAAAATTCGAAATTTACACATTTTATCAAATATCTCGAATACAGTCCATTTTAGAGAAATTATGTATAGGATAAAAACTCTAGAGAATTATATTACAAACAACTTTTATTTGAACAATTTTTAAAAAAAATTATTTTTTTTACATTTTGTTAAATTTCTCGAATACGGACCATTTTTGGAAAATTTTGTATAGAACAAAAAATATTGATAATAATATTGTAAGTAACTTTTATTTGAATAATTTTCTTCTCCAAACGTAAATAACAGATAGATTCCATAAAATATTAAAAATTGACCACCTATAAGGTACCCCCCAGATGTTACGACTCTGCCCAAAATCTAATCATTTCATTGGACGCCGGAATAAAGCTTAAGTTTCAAATTTGGTGTTTTTCTTTGTATCGGTTCATGAGTTATGGTGGATACACACAGACATGATCCCAAAAATAGTCAAAACGGATTCAGGGGACCCCAAAACGTAAAAATCCGTCGAAAAAAATCATGATTCCTATACTTTCCTTCTGTGTACAGACAGGAAAGTAAAAATTGTAGAGAATGACCTAACAAATAATCCTTATTGAAAGAATTTTCTTCTATAATCATAAATAACACGTATATGATAAATTAGAAAAAATCCCTGTATAAAGTACCCCTCAAGATGCTCAGACTATGCCCAAAATCTAATTTTCTCGCCGTAAGAATGAATTAAAGCTTAAATTTAAAATTTGGTGTTTTTTCTCTATCCGTTTTTGAGTTATCGTGGATACAGTTAAACATCATCGCAGAAATGGTCAAAACGGGTTCGGGGACCCCAAAACGTAAAGATCAGCAGTCAAAATTTTGTATAAACGTCATAAAATTATCGTACATCGTGAGAAAATGCTTAAATTTAAATTTCATTTTGACAGATGACAACGTGTCAAGTCGAATTAGACAGCTAAGATGGCGGAAAGAACCGTGAGCGTATTCCAACCACAAACAAAACCTATAAAAGTTGTTAAATTGAAAGTAAAGATAGGTACAGTGGTCTCAATTGGTTATCCGCTATTAATTTATAGTTCTGAGGGAGGTAAAAAGGAAGAACGCAAACTAAAATCAACACAAGCGGGAACTGTGCATCTGATTTTGGTAAAGGAGGGTCAGGTTGTCCAACCGGGGTAAATATATTCAAAAATTTTAAATTTTGGCGCGAAGTGAGTTTTTGCTATACATTTTGAAAATGAAAACAATATGGACAAATCCAGGAGCAGTTCTATTGATAATCATAATTTAACTCGTATAATATAAAAATTAACGAATATATTTTTTCAGTTTTTTTATTTAGTCCGAGTTTTGTTTTTAGTGAGATCTTAGTAGAACTTAAAGCATGTTCTCATCCTACAATAATGAACGATATGTGTGCAGAGTGTGGGGCAGATTTAAGAAAAAACGACAGTGTAAGTACTGCTTCAGTTCCAATGATTCATGCCATACCCGACCTGAAGGTCAGTGAAGAACTAGCACTAAAATTAGGAAAAGCTGATAATGAACGTCTGCTCAAAGATAGAAAATTGGTTCTTCTGGTGGATCTGGATCAAACGTTAATCCACACGACCAATGATAATATACCTCCAAACATTAAGGATGTGTATCATTTTCAATTACATGGACCCAACTCACCCTGGTATCACACAAGATTAAGGCCTGGAACGCACAGATTTTTAAACAATATTCATGATTATTATGAGCTGCACATTTGTACTTTTGGAGCAAGGAATTATGCTCATACCATAGCTATGTTTTTAGATGCTGATCAGAATTTTTTTTCAAATAGGATTTTATCTAGAGATGAATGTTTCGATCCAACCAGTAAAAAGGCAAATTTGAAGTAAGTTTTATTGTTTGTATTTAGTGATACTTTGGTAATCTTGTAGTTGAAGGGTCTGGAAATGTGCCTGTCCACACCATTCCTGTTCCTGCTAGTTCTGACAGTTGGAATCGGTACATATAGTTGCCAGGTTATATTTAATTATTTGGAACCAGGGAATGAGCATATTGAAATAACTATTTTACTTTTAATCATCTATTTACCAATTTTTACATCGATTGAAAATCCCATAAAAATAAAAAAAAGGTTCTGAAGTTTTTCAAGTAATATGATCATTATGTTTAATCTCAATAATACCTTTCAGTAGTGATAATTACAAAATTCAAATTCTAGATGTCAGTGCAGAGTTGTGTGAATATGCACATTTCTAGACCCTTCAACTATATATTGCTTTTATATTTTTTAGAATTTTCCATTAATATTTCTTAATTTTTTTTTGTATTTGCAAAACAAAAGAAATGATTTATACACTATATTTGCTAAGTGTGAATATCCACACCTGATGCATTTTTTACCTCTTTAGTGTTTGTTTGTTTACATCGGACACATTTGCTCCCACTACATTTGCATTTGTTTATTCGAGCTGTAGCCATCCAGATTGCATTTATTTTATTGCATCTCGATTTGAAAGGAGATGTTGATAGTGTGGTTTTTAAACTTATCATTGTTATTTTTCAATTTTGGAAATTTGAACATATATAAAATGCCTAATTCCTCCTAGAAAATTATGAAAAATACACCCCTATATCCTTAAAGTAAAAAAAAACAAAGGAAAAGATAAGAATTAAAGAAAATAATTGCATTGACCAGGGATTAAACCTAGAACACTATGTTTACTAATACTGAGTATTTGAAGAGCTTTAGAAAAGTTGCAAGATAGACTCTCTCGATATTTTTAATATTTTCATTATTCCTAATAATTCTGATTGATATTTTATACTACAAGGGGCCCACATAGCTCATTTATATTTTAATTTATTCATTAATGATATTGGATCTGTTTTTGAATATAGTAGGTAATTAAGATTAACAGTGGTGATTATCATAATAAACTTGAAAAAGCTTTTCATGTCTTTGGTGCATGATTTTCCTCTAATAATCTTATCCTGTTACTACATTGCTTTTACTAAAAATATCAAAACTTTTGTCTTGATAGCCATACTTTAATTAAACATCTTACTGAAATCAAAGACCTAGAAATTGTATTTTTCTCTAATCTTTCCTTTAATAATCATATTAATCAAATAGTTAATAGGGCAATGAAAATGTTAGGCATGCTGATAAGAATCTCTAGCTTATATTGCATATGTTCGGTCCATTTTGGAGTACAGCATAGTGTTCATTTTACAGCAACTATTAAAAAGGATAGAAAATATCCAAAATAAATATCTAAGATGTCTTTAAACTTGGTCTACCAGCAGATACATATAATTATTATTCCACAATTCTAGATGTATAAACCTTGTAAAAAGAAGAATCTTGATGGATCTGTCATTTCTCTATAAGATCATAGCCGGGATTGTTACATCAGTTGAGTTGTTATCCATGATTGAAAAATATACTGAATAGGTATTGAATATTTAAATTTAGAATGGATTAAATAATTTTCATAATTTATTAATGAAAACTCATCATGTTCCAGTTTTGGTCTCCAGAATTCTCACACAATTTGAAATTTTCTAAATAATTTTGTTTTAATATATATGCAATTTTACACCGTCTTGCTTTTCTTGTTTTTTATGTGGTATTTTTGTGATCTGAGTTATTTGATTTAGATTAATAATTCTGTAGTGTACATGTAGTGACATTTAAACTTTGTGGCAGCAGATAAATGGTTAAGCTCACCTTGAATGAACCTGGTGACATTACAGGTTATTATGACATTATTATTATTATGAAAGATTGTCATTATTATTTTATATTTTACACCCATTTTACATATAATAAAGATATGCATTATACAATTATATACTGCATCAGTATCGCAGTAGGCACCCAGTAAATTTCTTAATCTTAAGGTGAGTGCGATCCTCACACAGGACAACTCTATACATCTTTTAATATCACAAATATTTCTGTTAAGGTTTTTATATGTATATTTTTTTAAACCACTATCGATGGCTCCAGGTTGTACAGGTTAGGTAATTTATTTTTCTTTTTATTATATGCATAATGGTAATGAAACATGTATAGTAGGGTGTTTCATTTTTGAGCAACATTTTTTTTTTCAACTAAAAAACAGGCTTAAAACTTTCGGGGAGGTAAAAAAAGAAGCCTCTAAAAATTTGAGCTCTTAATATTATCATTTAGTAGTGCCTGTTCCTAACTTTCCATTTTCCAACTAAATAACATGGAACATTTTTTTTTGATTTTTTCTTATTTTTGTAGCTTGACATTTGAGCATTGTAAAGATAAAGTAAAAAATTATTTTGGTAGGAAATTGAACGCTCTACAAAGAGTTCTAATTAATTTTTTTCATAAAGTGAGCCGTTCTGAAGATATTCCAACTTAAAGTTGCAAATGTATGAAATGAGGACTTTTATTTTATTAAACTAATACTGATGACTTTTTTTATGTCTTAAACATTATTTTTAATCTGAAAACTGGTTTTTGTGCGCTAATATTTTTAGAAAGCTAAAATAAAAAAAAATACATCTTAGATATTATTTGATTAACTGTTAAACAAAAGTAATTATGAATTAGGTTCAGTAAAATTATTATTTTATAGATTAAAAAAAACTTTTTAACAATTAGCATACTAAAATTTTGTAACTAATAGATATTTTAATGTCTTATCAGAATTAAATGATGTAACTATATTTGTTGAAGTATCTTTATTACAATTTGGATATTTTCGTCGGTGCTCCTTTACCACTTGTAATATTAAAATTGTTCCTCATCTTTAGTTAGGCATCTATTATATTCTTCTACTAATGCGACGCCATGTCCTGCAACGTCATTGACAACTTTCAATTTTTCGAAAAACTCCAAATTCTCTTGATAACTTTCATTATCTGGCCAAATTAAGACATCTGCATCCAGAAAGTCGTACGGCAAATCAAATTTGTCAAAAAGTTTTAATGATTGTTTTGAATCAAAGTCACTCATACTTTTGTTTAAAAATATTTCTGGTGAATTTTTGTCTTCTGTGTGTCGTTATATTCTTTCTATATGAAAATAATGATGTTTTCTTAAAAATAATTTTTAAGACATAAAAAAGTCCGGTTTAATAAAATAAAAGTCATAATTTCATACATTTTCAACTTTTAAGTTTGAATATCTTCAGAACGGCTAACGCTATGAAAAAAAGTTATTAGAACTTTTTGTAGAGCGTTCAATTTCCTACCAAAATAATTTTTGTTATTTTTACAATGCTCAACTATCAAGCTACAAAAATAAGAAAAAAGAAAAAAAAATTTTCCATGTTATTTAGATGGAAAATGGAAAGTTAAGAACAGGCACCACTAAATGATAATATTAAGAGCTCAAATTTTTAGAGGCTTCTTTTTTCACCTTCCTGAAAGTTTTTAGCCTGTTTTTTAGTTGAAAAAAAAAGTTGCTTAAAAATGATACACCCTAATGTATAGCAGTATTTTATTTTTCTCTGCTAATGGCGTGCATGTGTAATAGCCAGATTACAAAACGCGTCGTTTTATAAATAGCTGCCAATTTGTCAAATTTTCGTTTATCTTTCGTTATTTTACTATCTAACTAGGCGACCAGATTGTCAAATGTTAAAGGTTGTCTCCTGTTTGACATTCCGGCGGGTAAGGATTTTCAATCGTCTTGTAAAACACTGTCGATTTTCGACATGAACTATTTAATTTTGGCTGATAACAAGTGTATTGTGACGATAGTTTAATTTATTTAGAGTTTATTTATATAAAACACACTATTTACAATTTATGATGTACTAATTAATTTATATAATACTTAGGCACTAACTCACAATTCTAATTTATTTATTACTTTTCTGTCCAACACTTTATTATAAACTAACTGTCCGCCGATAAGTCTCTATATAGATCCCCAAACAGTAATTATGTTGATTTTTATAATTTTTTTGAAACCTGGTGTGAAAACAATGTATGTGATAAAAAATTTAGTGTAATTATAACAGGCGATTTTAACGTAGATTATTTTTCCAACTCATCAAATAGTGTATCCTTAAAAAATTTTATAACTAGTTTTAGCTTAAAAAATATAGTTAGGGAAATAACGCATCCAACAAGTAATGATGGATCTTTATTAGACTGGGTAATAACAAATACAGATATGTTGATTGCTGATGTGATAAAAACACCTAAAATAAGTAATATATCTGTTAAAGTAAAACAAGTTAAATCTAAAATGATAACACAAACAATTGAAAGTAGGGGCCGAAATATAGACTATTCTGCAATTAATCAGAAATTAGAAGCTGTTACTTGGAATTTTAGGGAAACAGATATAAATAGAAAATATCAATGCTTCTATAAGGAAATTTTTAATATATATATAATGAAGTAGCTCCTAAAAAATTAATTACAATTTACCCAAGATATAAGAGTGGTGGAACAGTAGTGTTAAGCAGGCAGTGGAGGACCGAGATAAAAGCTATAAGAACTTTATGAGCAATAGAACAGAGGAGAATAAAAACATGTATAAAGAGAGAAGAAATCTTGCTGTTAGAGTAATACGAAATGAAAAACGGAAATATTATGAGCATAAGATAGATGACTATAAAAATAATACAACGGAATTGTGGAAAACACTAAAAACGTTGGTTCCAAATAATGTGGCCAATACGGATTTTTTAGAAATTGAAATTGAACAGAAAACCATAGATAGAGTTGAAGATATACCAGATAATTTGAATTCTTTCTACATTGAGAGTATTGATAAAATTATGGATAAAATTGATAAAAATGGTCCAGACTTCCCCATTAATATTAATCAGGAAAATATCAGTAACTTTTCCAAATTTACTTTAATTGATTTTAGTAAGCTTAAAAAAATAT